TGTGCTGTGCTGTGCTGTGCTGTGCTGTGCTGTGCTGTGCTGTGCTGCTGGGGAAACTGAGGCACGGCGCAGCCCGAGGGCAATGGAAGCACTGCCAAAGAACAGAGCAGGATGGGGGCTGTGGGATGGGCTTTGCTGGGAGGCTCAGGCAGACCGACCCACCCCGAGGGGGGCAGCGTGTCCCATCTGCTCGGACCCCACAGATCCCGTGCTCCAACCTCAAACGCGTCCTGGAGCACACAGCCGACGGGATGCTTACGCTGCCTTTTAGGTTTTTAATGAGCGGTTGCTGGCAGGAATGCTAACACCACTCAGCAGACAGACCTGTCGTGTGCTCTGCGTCCTTGTCTGGCTGCACTGAGCTCTGACCTCATTTGCTCGGTGCCATTCAATTAACAAGGCGAGCGGCGCTGGGGAAGGTGGGGATGCCGGGGGGGGGGGGGGGTGGGGGGGGCATTAACAGTGTGTATTAATTTCCATTTTTGGTTCTGAACAATTGAGCATCGCTCAGCAACGGCTGCAGGAGGCACCGGGAGGCTCTCGTGGTGCTGCCATCATCCAGGGGTGTTTTGGGGGGTTGAGCTGGGGGTCCCGCTCTGTTTTCGCCCCCACGGACCCCCGGCAGCTCTGGGTGAGCTGCCCCTCCTTTGGGTTTGCTGGAACATGGATGGAGGTGAGACGAGACAGAAGTGAGGGTGAGAAGGGGAGAGAAACGTTTCCCAAGGTGTGGAAAAAAGAAAACAAACCACAATTTCGGATGCCTATATTTATAAATGGGGTTTTACTCCAGCGTAATGAGAGCAAAATAATTAATTCTTTTGCTGGAGACAAAAGGCTGAAGGTCTCCTGCAGCCCCACCTCTGCACTGCTGGGCCCTGAGGCCTTTCCTCTGCTGCTGATGGGAGGCTGCCAGCCTCAGCTCCATCCTGGGGGGCGGCCCAGCATCCATGGGCCAAATGGGGGGACGTGGAGGGGGTGGGCAGAGCGCAGTGCCCTCAGTTCGTAGCAGTGAGTTGATAAGGGGAAGGAGCTGCCTTTGCTCCCCAGATGCAGCCCACTGCTCTTTTTGGGGTGGGTAAACGAGGGGTTGTGTTGGTTCTCAGTGTAAATATTAATGATGCACCATAAGAGCATGGGCGGGATGGGGAGGAATGGCTGAGTCGTTTTATGGACCGAGGTCTCTCCCTGTAAGAACATCCCTGAGTTGCAATGAGTTGGGATCAGGCAGGGCTGGGTTCGCCTCCCTCAGATGTGATGAAATATTCTGATAAATGCCTGTGGAGCCCAACGCCAGGAGAGCTTCTCATGCTGGTGGGGCCTTTCCTGGAGCGCTGTCTGTGTCAGCATCATCCCCAGGACTCCTCCAACCCCACGATGCTCTGTTTCTGTATGCAATGGTAAAACACACAACCTGCACCTGCGGGGATCGCAGCCTCGGTGCTGACAAGGAAAGGGTGCAACTGGGAGCTGCTGGGATCCCCGCTGTGCGTTGGGTGCCGGTGCTGCTGCTCCGTACACGTGCTGTTGGTGCAGCCTTGTGCTCAGCCCTGCGGTCCCTTCCCGGGTTCGCACACGTCAAGCTCTCCGCTCGGCTCCCCCCGCGGTGGGCAATGCAAATCCCTCCTTCCTAGGGGCGCCCTGCCTGGGGGTCCCGGCCCCATCCCCGACACTTTCCCTTCCCTACCCAATTCCAGCCCCTATCCCCATTCCTGAGCGCGCTCCGTGCCCGGCCCCACCTCGCCCAAATCCTCCCCCATTCCCTTCCCATTCCTTCTCCGTTCCCATCCCCTCACCCCCGGCCCTCCTCTCCCCGCCGCCCCCTCCGCTCCCATCCCGTGGCGGACGGCGGCACCGTGCGGCCGCACCGGGCAGCGCCGCTCCTTCGGGGAGGGAACCGAGATCCGCTGCAGCGCTCCGGGGGTCCGCCCTCCGGCACGGCTTCCCCCATCTCCACTCTGATCCAACGGAGCATCACCGGGAGCGCTGCGAGTGCGGGATGGGATTCTGACCTCGGTAATGGCATAAGAGTGGCGGGGGGGGGGGGGGGGGGAAGGGCACAGGAGTGATGGAGCGGCGGCGGCGTGGGGTGAGGGCGTCCCTGCGGGGTGCGGGGCGGACGGGCGCGGTGCAGTGACGGCGGCCGCCGGGGGGTGGCACGGCCGAGCCGGGCGGGAGCGGTGCCGGGTGGGGGTGCGGACGGGGAGGGCCCCCGAGCGCCGCAGCCCCGCGTCTCCACCTTCCCCTACCCCCGCACCAGCGTCTCTGCGGGTCCGCAGCCCCACGCACGGACATCCCTATTCCCTACGTCTCGGTGTTCCCGCATCCCTCCATCACTGCATCCTTTCATATCCTCACCCCAGGGCCGAAAATCCTTACCCTACCCAGGAGGGCGGCAGCCGGGCGTGGGGGAAGGGGGGCCGCCCAGCCCCGCACGCAGCGCCAACCGTGCCCGCATCCGCCTTGCGCCGGGGATGAGGGAGCGCCGAGGGGGATTCGGCTCCGCCGCGCAGCCACGCAGCAGCTAACGGTACGTGTCGGCCGTGGGGCTGCGCTGATATGTGGGGAGGGGATGCGCTGCGGGGCTGGCGATGTTTGGGGTTGAGTGCGGGAATTGGGGGTACGGGACCCCATAGCACCCATCTGTGGGGCACAGCCAGAGCACAGCCGGGGCACCCACTGCCAAAAGAGCCCCGGGAAGCTGAGGGTGGGGTGGGAGAAGTGGGGTGCGGGGGTGGGCGAGGAGGGGGGGGTTGGGGGTATGATCTCCAAGAAGGCAGCGTATGTGTCTGGTGGGAAGGGGATTTGTGGCTGCGGATCCATCCCGCTCCGTAATCCCAAGGAGAACCTGCTGCCATCTGTGCACTGCCACGCAATGGGGGGGCCGTGGTGATGCTGGGGGGGCCGTGGTGATGCTGGGCTCTGCTCTGCCTGGCAGCTGGTGGGAGACTCCTCCCCCCTTCCCTCCCCCCGGGCACCATGCCTTCCTCCAAGACGGACGGCGAGTATTGGATCGATGGATCCCACCGTGAGGCTGCCCTGGAGGATTTCTACGTCGTGGGCCCTGAACTGGGACGGTACTGCCTGCATGGGGGGGGAGGTGGAGGGCAGCAGGAGGATTCCCTGCGTGGGAGCATCATGCTCAATGGCTGCGTGCAGAGGGCTGGGTGCAGGAAGGGTGCAGGAGAAGGGATGGATGGATAGATGGATGGATGGATGGATGGATGGATGGATGGATGGATGGATGGATGGAGAGGGGCAGGGGGATCCCATCCTCAGGTGTGAGCTGGGCTTTGGAATCGATCGCAGTGCTGCTGCTGTGGTTTTGGGAGCACTCACTGAAGTCTTGCAGGACGTGGTTCAGGTTCTTCATGTGCTCTACGCTTCTCATCCCTTTGGTGGAGACTGGGTTGGTGGTCTCTGACTTTTGGCTTGTGGGCAAGTGGAGGATGAACCTGGGGCTCCTATGAGGAGCCCCAGCAAAGGAGCACAACTGAGGATAAATCCCATCCCCGCAGGGGGTTTATTCCCAGGATTTGTCCCACTTAAGGTAGGAGGCCCCACAGAAGTCCCAGCTGTATCCCCACACCCACAGCCAGCTCCAGGGCTTTCCCCACCACCAGGGGCTCAGCAACTGGTGGGGGGCACAAACAGCAAACCGCCATGGAGGTTCCTGGGCTCTTTGACCACCTGAGATGTGGGCTTTGCCAAGGCACAGGATGGTGCCAGGATGATGCATGGGCAAGGCTGCAGGAGGGGGCACGGCATGGGCATTTCTAGACACGTCCTACCCAATGCCCCATGCAGTGCTGTCACCCAGCAGCTCTCATGCTGTACTAGGATGCTTGCCTGCTCTGGGATGGGGCCAGGGTCCTTGCAGACAGCCTTGCAGCCACGGAGCCAGGGAGCTGCTGCACATCGAGTAAAGCCAGAGCTTCCCATCCTTTACTTTGAGCTGGAGGTGTAGCCAGGGCTGATGAGACCCCCAGCAGAACGGAGCTGGTGGAGCAACCTGCATCCACCTGAGAGCCCCCACAGGGTTTCCATCAACAGAGGAATGCGTGGGGCCACAAACAGCAGCTTGAGGATGGGCGTGCTGCCTGCACAGATGGACACGTGGTGGGGGGACAGACCCTGCCCCCGACCCCTCCGTCCAGACGCATCCCATCCGGGCTCTGGGCTGCGTTGCACCCACAGCGAACTCAGGCTCCTGGCAAATCCCATTGTTCAACATTTTCCAGTTCATCTGTAAAGCAAATGCAATTATCTGCCGTGGCTGTCAAGGTTGATTGCAGTATTTACTCCAGGCCTTAAGCAGCGGCCAGGTGGAGCTGCTGGCGGCAGGGTCCAGCTGCTGCTGTGATTGGGAACGCAGCGATGGCAGTGGGTGCATGGAGATGGAGATGGAGCTGCACTGGAGGAGTGGGGCTGAAGGGGCCGGTGGGCTTCAAATGATCCCTTGAGGAGTGGGCTGCAAATCATCTGTGCACAATGCGGTGCTGAAAGGGGATGTCGAGTGATGGGAGGGTGAGCGTGGTGCAGGGAGAGGGGGCACAGCAGCTGGGAAATGGGGCCAGCAGCACAGCCATGGGGCACAGCAGCAGTGGGGGTGCTTTGGGTTCAAAGCAAAGCTGTCTGCAGCTCTTCCTGAGCGCGGGATGTGATGGGAAATGCTAAGCAAAAGGCAGAAAATGCTTCGGAAATGCTCAAAGTGTGGGGCTGCCCAGCTCTGTGGGTACTGCAGGCTGAGCCCCATGCCATCCCCAACCCTGTGCCATCCCCAACCCTGTGCCATCCCCAACCCTGTGCCATCCCCAACCCCTCGCTGTCCACCCGCAGTACCCAGCTCTGCTGTTGCCATGGGAATGCAATTCTCCAGCTCAGCAGATGAGTTGCAAAATCCTCTCTCCATTTTTAAAAGCAGAGAGGTGGATTTCAGGAGGGGCCCCTGGGAGCTGCAGCATAGGGTCACCTGTGGGCAGCAATGGGCAGCAATGGGTCGTTGTGTTCTTGAGGGAGATTTCGGTGCAAAAAAGGGGTTCTTTGGGCTTTGACCTTCGGAGGCTTGGTGCTGACTGAGGATGGGGGGATGGCGTGTGCCTCGAGCCAGAACCTGAACTTGTCCCAGAAGGTGTCAAAGCCAAAGAGCAATAAAGTGCGGTCGATTACTCAGGGGGTGAGAATTAATCTGCTCCGAGGAGCCGGGCAGCGAAGATGAAATTGCAAACTAACCCCATAATGGCCTGAAGAAATGGGTTGATTTCACCGTCCAGTGGTTAGAAAACATTATTAACAAGATCTGAAAGTGACGGGCAGCTGAGCAGCACAGTGCAGGCTGATGGGAGCAGTTCTTCCTTTGTAAGGCAGAGCAGTTCTGCACTGTGGCAGGTTTTGTTGTGTGATTTGGGGTGGGGGGGGGGG